AGTTAGGTATTCAGTGGTACACTGGATGCCTAACTAGAAGTCTTCATGTTGTCAAACTTTTGTAGCCTCTACATCTTGCATATGACGTGCATGCGCCTCTTTTTACTATGCTAGTTGATCCATGTCCCCCATGAACATAATAGCTTAAAACCCCGGAGCAAGAACTATGGAGAGAAAGAACAATGTAACATAATGCGACTCATAACACGGTTAGGGATATAACTCAAGCAATGAGATAAAACTATTTATTGCACCTATGATGCCTAATAAGGCTATAACATTTTTCGGCGCATAATTAAAGATTTGTTTGCCTTAGAAAATATCTCGAATGTGCATGCACATGTTACCCCCAACTGTCCCCCAGTTAGGCGCCCAGTGATGCACTAACTAAAATCCCTTGACTTGTCAAATTTTACGTGAGATCATTTGGTATTTTGTCCCCCAATTCATGTCCCCCATTACCATATTAATTACACAGAATAATGATCACAAATATACTAAAGAATGCAACAAAATTTGGTTCATACAATAACTAGGAATATAACTCGAGTAGAGACAGAAAACACTTAGCTTGTTCCTTGAGATGTATTGGATGCTAGAAAGGAAGCGCCTTAACCTCGAAGTGCTTCCTTTATGCGCCTCTATTATAACGTCTTTATTGACTTTGGTGTTGCGGGTGCCTAACACTTTGCTATGAGTTTCCTAAGATATTGCGAGCGCCTCGCTTCTCCCTTGAACACCTGTTGGGTACTATGAACACCTTACATTCCCATAGGGAACTTGCAAGTATCATGGGCGCTTTTAAGTACTTCGGGTGCTTTGGGTATTACGTGCGCTTTAAATACCCCTTGGAGACCTTTCAAGTATTTCGGGTGCTTTGCATCTCCCTTAGAGACCTTTCAAGTATTTCGGGCGCTTTAGGTATTGTGGGCGCTTTGCATCTCACTTGGAGACCTTTCAAGTATTTCGGGCGCTTTAGGTATTATGGGCGCTTTACATCTCACTTGGAGACCTTTCAAGTATTTCGGGCACTTTAGGTATTATGGGCGCTTTGCATCTCCCTTGAAGACCTTTCAAGTATTTCGGGCGCTTTAGGTATTATGGGCGCTTTACATCTCACTTGGAGACCTTTCAAGTATTTCGGGCGCTTTAGGTATTATGGGCGCTTTGCATCTCCCTTGAAGACCTTTCAAGTATTTCGGGCGCTTTAGATATTATGGGCGCTTTACATCTCACTTGGAGACCTTTCAAGTATTACATGCTCATGAAATTTCACATGTCTTTCAAATAATGCGGGCGTTAGGATTGGAGAAATCAAATTACACAGAAGTAGAGAACTTAGCTTATCAATAATAAGCGTCCGCCAAATTGCAACAAGATGTTGGGTTGCTGATGAGTGGTTGACTTCACTGTCTTCTCTTGGAGAGGTACTGGTTTCAAATCCCACACCATGCGGCTACATTTTAATTTAATTAGTGGGCGCTTGGGCCTTAGATGGGCCGGCTGTCTGTGGGGCTCAATGCAATTTTTGTGGATCTGATGCGCCCAATCAGGTTCGATTCTGGTCACAATTTTTGGCTTCCTTTTTTAACTCAGCGCCTGGTCTTGAAGCCCAATGTTCTCCGACGATCCTCTTTTTCTTTCGAGTTTGTCCATTAACCTTTCTCCCATCCTTCCTTCCCTGACGTCCATGTTTTCATTATCCTTGTGGCCACTCTTCTTCTTCCATTGTGAAGTCTTGCGCCTCCACCTTCCGCCCACACTGTCTTTTCCCTGGTTTTGCGGCGCCCATTGAATGTACTCCGAAACTTTTGGTTTGATGATTCGTCCGGGCCAGGAGGCGTTTTCTTTCTCTAGCTTCCAAGAATTTTGACGGAGTTGGGCGCTATATTTCGTCATTGGGGCGCCCCAGATCCTTCATGTTATTGATTTGGGCGCTTTCTTCCTTTTTTTTTATAGATCTTTTAGGAGCCCTCCCTTGCAACTTTTCTCTTCCTCGCCGAAAAGCAGAACGAGGCAAACCAATCAAGTTCTATTCCTTGTAGCCTTGAACCTCAAAACCAAATGCAAGCTTAGACCCGACGGAGGCTCGTCGTGATGCATCCTCGTTGTTATATGCGTCGTTGGATTGTTGACTTCGGCGCTTGAGTCTGTTCCGCCACCTAACGCCTTGCACTTTTACTCTATTCCTATGTTGAGACTTTTCATCCCCACGAAAACAACCCAAATATTCTGTGGATATTTCTAATTCTCGACGCCTTCAACTTCTTTTGATTCTGCAGATTTGGGCATACGAAGCGTATTCTTCCCTTTAATAACTAGTTTGGGCGCCCTTTCACATCGGCGCTCACCTTGAGATCTTATTGGTTCCCGCCACAAAGTCACAATGGGCAACTCACTGGCTTTTCAGTTGCCTCAACATTTTGTGCTTGTTGTAGGCCCATGGCTCTTATAATAATTGAAAGCACTAGGCCCAATTCTTCTCGTGGTTTTGCAACAAAAAGGAGGTTTGCTTCATGGACTATGCGCCTAGAATCATCGTTTGATGGTGTTGGTTTGTGCATTCGTGCTCAGTGCTCACAAAACATACGCTTTCCCTTTCTCCTTTATCTTGCATCCCTCCCTCGTTCTTCTTTCTTTGCAGCTCTGGGCGCTCTCCGCTCTTTTTTTTTTCCAGGATATCTCTATCTCGCTTTGGGCGCCATCTTCACTATTTTATTTTGTGGAGGCGCATCTCGTTCACGATCAGGTGTTCGCCCCCTCCTCATGATATATTTTTTTCTTTTTGTGAGAAAACTTCCCCTTCAATTGTTGAAGGCGCAACTGCGTAAGACTCTTTCTTCATTTCAAGCACTCGACCGACTTGCAATAATTCGACGCCTTGTCTCCAATCGGTTACCAGCGCCTAGATCCTAGATCTTTTATCGCCTTTGTTTTTTGTAGAACTACCCGCTTTTTGACTGTGGCTTTTTGTATTGCCTTCATCTTAAGACTTTTACTCTCTTGGATTTTTCCTGAGCATTGGGAGCTGAAACGCTGCTCACCGGCGCCAACTGAGAGTCTTGATCGAGAGGAGGACGAGGTTGAATGGAGAGGACGATTCCTCAATTTAACGAACGCCAATAAAACCAAGACAAAAGTGGATTTTGGCTTTTCGATAAGGGTTTGGGGAGAAGAGATAAATGGCGGATTGAGTTAGATATGGACTTCCTGAACTATTTCCTTCACCAGACCATTCACCAAAAATCATAGGTTGACGATCTATTTTCTGTAGGCGCCTCATGACAAGACATAATGTTTGTTATCCCTTCCTGGCGCGCCAATTGTTTCTGCCAAGAAACAAGACGGGCGCCGGGTCTGTGAAAGGGCGGGGATGGCCCCCATTATCTACACTCCGACGATCAACATTAGTACAATGATAGAGAAATAAGGAGATCTTAGGTAGAGAGATTGTAGAGAGATAAGTGATATGCCAAAGTGAGAAGAGGAGCCGTAGAGGTCCCTTACTGAAGGACCTAAGAGCATATTTATAGGTAAAACCTTGTGATATTTTGATGGGCTTCAGTTGGGCCTTGTGGTGCTTTGTGGGCTTGGGTCCATATGTGTCTTGCAGACCATATTTACTATTAGGTTGGGCTATGCCATATTTACACCTCCAACAGAAGTATTTAGAGGTACCAAATCTGTGGGCCCCATAGACTTGAAAATCCCACCTTTTTAGGTGAGAATTGATAAGAACTTTAAAGTCCATAATTTTTTTACCAACCTACCCCTCATATTTCTTCCTCTTCTTATATCATTGAGGGCAATAAAGGTAAAGTTGACTTCATACATACAAATTTAATTAACAAAATCCATAATGAAATCCATGAAACAAACAATGGTCTTTTTCAAATCCATAATGAACCAAAAACCCTCATATATCCATGGTTTATCAAACCCCTAAGTTATACCACTTCATTTTTCAAATCTACGAAGCAAACGATACCTTATAGTTGTTAATCGGTTATAACCTTGTTAGGCTATAGGTTAATTGTTAAGCAATTTTTTTATTATTAACCACAACATTTATATTAGTCAATTAATTACAATTGTATAAATTGGTTATGGGTTATTATGTTGGTTAACAAACTAGTCGTTTATCAAGTGATTTGGAAGGTTAGATCAAATAATCAAAATAATTGGTTGGTGACCATATCAACGGTTTTCCTCTTTTCTTTTTAAATTGTGTATTCTTGTAGATATTTCCCACATATGCATGTGTTCCTTTTTATATTTTTTCATTGATTTGAGTTTGACTTGTCCATATTGAGATCGAGAGAAGAGAGCGAAGAGATGAAAGAGAAGAGTGATGAGTGCGAACAACATGAGGGAAGCTATTGATGAATTAAATTGGGGCACTGACTCTTTGCTACTTAGCATAAGTTATTTAGGGGTCGTTTGGATGTGGAAATGTTATGCAGTATTTGGCCTAATTAATGCATTGTGTGGTAATTGGATTAAAAATCCACGTTTGGAAGAGGAAAAAGTGTATGAAAATTGAACCATGGAAATTCATTTTAATTACCATGATGAAATTCATTTTAATTACCACATTCATGGTAATTGAGAATACTACACCTTATCCTATTAATTTGACATTACCACATTTTCTTTTTTTCTTTTTCAAATGTACCCCTTTGTCCTTCCTCTCCTTTCTTCGTTACTCCAACCTATTTCTTACAAAACAACCCTTCTTCTTCATTCAACAATGGCGCCTCTTCTTCATCTCCCCTCACCTTCGTATATTTCCTCTCATCCGTCGTCGATTTCTTACTTTTGGATTCGCTTAATTATCTCATCCGCCATCGATTCTCCATCTTCTCTTCATCGGGTTCACTTAATTGGAACGCCGACTAAGAGAAAGAAGCCGATGTAACAAAGACAATTAGTAGTTAGTTAGAACACAACAACAACCTTTAGAGGGTATGCATATAAACAGAAGAGGGCAATTTGTATTATCACCAAAATCCACGCTATCATTTTCCACAAAAATAAATCCTATCCACACGTGGTATTTCATTCAATTTCCGCAAGTCAATTCCTTGATTTGATAAAATATTGAAATTCAGCTAAATTCTCACATTTTCAAATTTCCACATCCAAACGACCCCCAAATCTTTCGAATTCAAATTTGATGTCTACCTTTTGGTCGCAAAATCGACGCTCTTTGCTTCTTTCGATTATAGGGCTCACACTAAAAGGAAATTGGGAAAAGATGATGATTAGGACAACCGATGAGATTGTTTGTTCAAACTTCCAAGTATTCATGACACATTACATTGAACACTATATGGTTTTACGATTCATCATAATCTTTATTACAGCTACGTTGCAATTTTATCATTAGAACACGAGACACTCATAAGCAGTTGGGTAAATTAGGGTTCTGTTTTCTTTGGAATTCATTCATGGTGGTGGACTGGTGGGGGGGCGCGAATGCTTTGCTTCATGTCCCTACCATAGTATAGTAGTACCATAGGCTGTTTCTTTAAAACCCAGCTTTTCCCAAAGAGTCAGAGTGACAGTCACGGGGGCTGCGCCACCGCCACCCCACCAGCGACGGCCGGCCCCACACAGCAGCCACCAATCACCAATTCAATTGGGCGGTCGCCTCCCCATTTCTGGCATGCCCCGCTGTCGCTCTATCCTTCATCGCCCATTTCTTCCCGCTGTCTACAGAAAAAGAAGAAAGAAAACAAAGAAATACCTCTCAAATTTCTTCCTCGCAGCCTATCTCGTCTTTGATTCTCCTCCGAGTGAGCGAGTCTCTGTTCGTCTGTACAAACTGACAAATTTGCATACTTGTATAAAGAAAACGGAATACACTCCTACCGCCAGCGAGAGAGAGAGACAGAGAGAAAGCAAGCCTAACTATAGAGACCTAACCCCACCCCAGTTCGCGACAAGTTTCAAACCCTATCCCCTTTTTTTTTTCTCTGAAAAGATCAATACTTTGATTATTTTTCCTCCAAAGTTTTATGATCCCGTAGATATTGTTCCTTTGTTCTTCTCCTGCTCTGCTGTGCTCTCCCTCTCTCTCATTCTCGTCACTTCTACCACTCTCCTTCCTTTCTAGACTGTTGCTTGTTTTGCTTCCCTTTTCTCTGGGGACGGATTAAAGTAAAGGGTGAGGAAAGCGAGAGGCAAAAGAGACGAAACAGAGGCCTTCGATTTGTGAATTGGCCAATTGGGTCATCAGCGGCTGAGTTGATTGAACCTTTTTATTACTTTTCTATCTAATTCAAGCACAGCTTTGGTTCTCGGAACTTCTCGTCGACTGTGTATCTTTTTTGACTTTGTTTGTGGAAAGACAAAAGGTGGGCTCTCTTCAGCAGTATCCTGTTTCCTGGGGGTTTTTTTTTTCTGCTCCTCCAGTTTAATTTCTTCAGCTTTCATCTCGAGGTTCATTTCCTTGCCCTTGCTTTCTCTGCGTGTGAAGGTTTCTGAGGTGAATTCTGTTGTGGATTTCCTTCTGATGGACCTCAGCTTCTTACTTTGGGAAATTTTGTCGCTTTAGGGCATGAATTGTGTTAATATCTTTTGAATTCTCCTGGTTTCCCGACAGACAATTGTCGAGGAATTGGAGCCGGATTTTGTGGTAGTTTTTTTCTTTTGTCCGTTTGCAAAGTTCCCTGCTTTCCCCCTGTTTTACTTCCCTTGGATTCCAGCCTATGAGCTACAAAGTCGGCGACTTCATTGGAATCCGGTCATTCTATGAACCGCTGACTAGGGGGCTCTGCTTTTCTTTTAGGTTTAAGCGTAACATGGGTGTGGGAGTTTGTCCTTGATTTTCCGTAGGGTTGTTTGAGGAAGTTATGAAATTTGTGCTCTTTTTAACTCGCTTTCATTTTCCGAGTTGTATGACCACTCACAGTGTTCTTTGATCTCTGGTTTCATTCAGATATAGGGCAGTTGACCTAAAATGCAGAGTTTTGGGTTTGAACTTTTTGAAACCTTGAGGTTTTTGGTTGCTTTAAACCATCTGTTCTTGACGCCTAGCTTACAAAGATCTCAGTTTGTTATTCATCTTCTGTTCATTTGGTACGCTGTTGCTGCACAAATTAGGGCTTGGATTATGCATCTTTGGCTCGTATTGGTTCTTGTTCTTGCTTTTGAGCGTCTCATGGTTGAACTGAGTCTGTTATACACTAGAGCCTTTCATCTTTGGAACTGTTGAAATGGTAATGGGAATTTCAACTTCCTTTAAGTTGTGCTATCTTCTCTGTGTGTGAATGGAACTTGCTTTGTGTGATATGCCAGGTCTAAACTTCAGCCAGGGTTGCTAATGGATTCTCCACAGTCTGTTGTTTCACCATTCAAGAATGCTGTAACTACCGAGCCAGAGAAACTGAAAACTGACTATACTGTTAGGAGTGCAGTCAGCAGCATAACCAAGGAGGAGGGTACCAGGAAGGCAACTAATGGCCATCTGGAGGACAACTTCATCGGAATGCTTGAGGTTTATATACATCAGGCTAGGGACATTCATAACATATGCATCTACCACAAACAAGATGTTTATGCTAAGGTTTGCCTCACCAGTGATCCTGAAAACACCGTTTCTACCAATACCATCAATGGTGGTGGCAGGAACCCGGTTTTCAACCAGAATCTGAGGATTAATGTCAAGACAGTCGACTGCTCCCTTAAGTGCGAGATATTCATGATGAGTCGGGTGAGGAACTACCTTGAGGATCAGTTGCTGGGATTTGCTTTGGTGCCTTTGTCCGAAGTTGTTATGAAGAATGGGAAGTTGGAGAAAGAGTTCTCTCTTTCTTCCACTGATCTCTTCCATTCACCTGCTGGATATGTTCAACTCTCACTCTCGTACAGTGGAGCTACCCCTGATGTAATGGCAATTCCTGCTGCTGATGGAATCATGCGGGATGCAGAGGTACAGGAATCACTCGAATGTGAACTCGACAAGCTTGAATTTCCAGATCCGAACATTGCAAATGAAAACCAGATGATGGTTTCTGAGTATTTTGGGACACCATGTACCAATCTGGATGACTCTGAGACCTCTGAGAGTTTGGTCACTTGTGATGCTGCTGACAGCCATACCAGCACAGCCACATGTACTGCTAATGGAGTGGAAAGCTTCTCAGCTGCTAGAGTAGATTCTGCCCTAGCTACTAATAAGCCTGATTCTCCTCCAAGCAGTGTGTCAACAACCAATGGAGTCGTCTCATCTCCTTCGAATGGTGTGAGCTCAGACAACTCTAAGACTCAGTCTGAAGAGCACAACTCGGTTTGCAAAGAGGATAAGGGCATAGATGCTGCAAATGGGGAAACTGACTCCTCAGCTGGCACTCCAAGGGAGGAAGTTACCAAGCCTGTTGTTACTATGAAAATGGAGTCAGAGCAGGGTGTTGTGCAGCAAGACATAGTTGACATGTACATGAAGAGCATGCAGCAATTCACCGAGTCATTGGCAAAGATGAAGCTTCCACTGGACATCGATAACAGCGGGCCAGCCAGTTCAGGCAGTTCTAACTCCGAGCAGCAGAAAACACCCTCATCAACTAAAACAGGTTCCCGAGTGTTTTATGGGAGCAGGGCTTTCTTCTGAGCTCTCTCTTAGTTACTGCTAGTTTCAGAGTTCGGGGGGAAAACGCACAGGTGACAACAGTTAGACTTCCCTTCCACCCATGGAGAGACTAAGTACTGATAGTGATGAACTGTAATAATTCATGATGTAGTAGTGTGTGTTGTTTTTCTTCCCTTTCGTTTCTTTCCCCCCTTACCTTGGGTCCATGTTGAGATGTTTAGAGATGACGGGGAAATTATGACTTGTATGCTGGTGCGGTTCTCAGCTTTGTTTCTATTCCTGCTGTGTTTGCAGTTTGTATACATGCAAAATTTCCCTTTCCAAACTGTCGTTTTTTCTTCTTCTTTCTGTTCTATTTGTCTGTTCTGCTAATTTTCAAACCTTTGAATTATGGTGAAATGAAGTTTTCAAACTAATTATATGCTAATGATGAATGCAAATTATACTCTGATTAAATGGTTATGGATATGGCCCCACTGTCACATGGTGACTTGAGGTGCAGCAAAAGTCAGCAAAGCCAAAGCATGTTCATGATGTTTGCTTTTAGCTGTCTTGCACAAATTTCCTCTTTTGTGGTCTGATTATTTACCCATCATCTTAGGATACTGGATCAAAGTGGAAAGAGTTGGGTGGTATCATTCATCAGCAAAATATCTATATCTTACAGAATTAAGATGACTGTCAGATTTGAACATGTGGGTGCTCTTGATTTTGAAAGTGGAACAACTATAAGCAGTAAAGCTCCAGGAAACCTCTGCTGTAAATCAATGAACATAATTTTTAGTAACACAGAGGGAACATAAGAAGCTTAAAATCTTCAGATGGGTGCTTCAACTATTTCATTAGCTCTAGTGATCATATGCCTCCTACAAACCCATGCAATCTGCCCGTCATCCCTGTACCTGACCCTCCATAGTCCAAACTTCTCAGAAATGTCCCTTCCTGAAGAACACTGACGGTCCCTTAAGAAATCAACCACCCATTGCTGTGCTGCTCTGAGTTCCTGTTGTTGTATGTCCCTTGAGTTTCTGTTCCTCATTCCATCCGCCCTTCCCATGGCTGCAGCCCCTAAGGCTCCAACAGCAACTGCCCCAGCTGCTCCAGACACAAGAGAAGACCCAGACAAATGAGCAACCTCTCTGCTCAAATCGGGTATCATTTCCCCCATTCCAGCAGCAAGGTGAGCTCCTATCTTCAATGCAAAAGTTACTAGCTTCATGAACTTCTTCATGTATGGAGCTAAACACTGCACTGCCCTGTTGTCGACCTGCATCACCTCACAGCCCATCTGATCTTCAACAACGTGCATTTCCCTCCTGAATTCACACAGCATGTGTAGCCGGAGAGCATTCATTCCACCGATCATGTTGGTGATCAGTCTTCTGGAGTAGTTCTCGGTTCTGACGAAGAAGAACATGTTTGGTGCTTTCCTCTCTTCAATCTGGGTGTTGTAGTTCACAAGGTAGTTGACCTTGCGGTGAAGCTCGATCAGCAGTCTGTGTTCATAGTATCTCAGCCCTTGAATCTCCTGCTTCAAGTCCCTTATCTCTTGTTCGATAATCTTGAGCCGCTGCAGTACTTGTTCTACCCCTCTGGCTATTCCAGCAAAGCTTGGATCAATTTGGTCAACAACTTCATTATTACCTTGGTCCACTGCTGCATCTATGGGTGGAACATCCAGCTCCACAGCAAGGTTGTAGAGGTCGTGGTATCTACTGTGCAACACTTCCCTGAAGTCATCATCAGATAAGAGATCCCGAGCCAAATCGAAGGTTGATTGTAAAATGAGACGACCGGAGTCTGAAACAAGATTCCATGTGTGCTGATAATCATACATTCCATCAGCAGGAACTGACAGGAGGGCTTGCTTCAGCTGCTGAATGGGTACATGTTGTGTTTTCCTGTACCTTGGAGCGATAAGATTCTGCACACAGTCAGGCCTTATGATGCTTTCGTTCAAGGTGACGCCATTGCAAAGGCTCTGAATGGCTGGAATTATCAGCTGATGAAAGAGTCTGAGAGTCTCAGTAAGGTTTCTTGTGGAACAAGCAAGGATGTCTATGTAATAGCCAAGCTGTCCTCCCAGTTCAATTCTAATGTGGATGCCATTGATATTTATTGAGATGAGGGACTTCTCAGGACTATAAGTTGCTCCTCCATATTGGTTCCTTAATGCCATGATTCTGTTATGAAGATGAACCTGCATGTGTTTTGTGAAATAACTCGAAGGTGAGAAATGATGGATCTGCTTGATTCTTAGATTACCAAGACTTGGAATTGAAGTAAAAGAGTTAGAAGATTGATTGCCTGCAAACGTGCGAAGAATCCTGGTGCAAGAAACATGTGGCTTGAATCATCACACTCTAGATGGCGCCCGACATAGAGGCACTCAGGTGAGCTAACGATCAGCCACTTCTGTGATTTTCCTCTGCTTTCCTCTAGAATGGAAGGAATCAGCAGTGGAGAGTTCGAATCTGCTGGGTCTTGTTCATAACACAGCTCAAGTTTCAGCATCATTCTCACCAAATCGCCAGCTTCCAAGGTTTGAAGTATCTTTGAAGAACCCATCCCAGGAATTATCTGGCCTTGTAAAGTTCCTCTCAGAATCTTTTCAAGTTCCCTTCTGCTGATGAACCCATTCTCCATTGAGCTTGGCTTCTTCCTAACATCTAGTTTCACGAGTTGCCCGAGTACCTCACAGCAGAACCACTCACAATCTAGGATCAAGAATCCTAACTGATCAAAGTAAATCACCTCCCCCATATGATGCAGGCAACTAGCAACAGCCTTCCTTCTCATTTCCACCTTCTCCTTGTTATCATGCCTTGACCCAATTCTCAATCCAGGTACCTTCACTTGGCAAAGCTCATCAAATTCTTTCCACCTCATTGCTGGCTTGTTACTGTTCTCTGCCCTCCAATCTGAAAGAATCTGGGTTAGATCATTGCAAAGCTGGTAAGTTCTTGGCACTCTCTGGAGAATGGTCTTGCTCGTCTTTTGAAGATGCTGGGTGAGTTTGTTCACCGATGCCGAGGACCTAGCATCAACTGTGAACACATTTGGATAGAACTCCACAAATCCTTGGAACTTGTCTCTTATTCGCTGTATCGAATTGACTATCAGCTGAATGTTTTGAGATGGCTGACTGATTTTGTCAAAGTGTGTAAGGACTATGGTGACATTAGGAAGTATGCACTGCTGGAGTGCTCTTCTTGAGTTGGAAACTATGAACCTTAGCCAGTACTGCAGGTCCTCTTCTACCTCACCTGGTGTCTTTGGTTCTCGGTTGCTGGGTTTTCTGAAGAGGCTGGTGATGATTATAAACAAGGATGCACTGCCATGACCGGGGAACATGAGGTCATGCAAAGCGTAAAACTCGTGCTGGCCACCGAGGTTCCATATCGAGATCTTGATTTCTTCATATCTGAGTGTCTTTATCTTCAATCCACTTGTTCTCACAGCTTGCTCAACGGGGTTCACAAGGGTCCTCACGTGGTCCATGTAAGGAATTAAGTTTGAAGAAGAGCAGCTCAAGTTCTGTGCCACTGCATTGCAAAGGGTGGTCTTTCCTACACACCAGAAAAATGAAACAACCACTTTGTAATATTTTCATCCCCAATTCTATAGAAAGATGCAGTCAGTTTTTAGGGAGTTTTTCATGATATGATGATCACCTGCATATTCTTGCCCGCACAAGAAAACACGACAACTCTTTGGTTCGGTTAGTGGCATGTCCTTGAGCAAGTTTCCATCTGGTTCTGTTTCTGGTTCAGTCTTCTTACCATTTTGGCTTAGCCTTTGATAAACACCTTCCGCATTCCCAGAGTTGTGCAGTGGTGTTCTTGAGAGATCAATCTCTTCAATCCAAGGATTGACCTGCAATGTCTCCATGATTGCGTTCAGCACAAACTCTCCTTGAACTCCTTTGCAGCCTTGCAAAGACAAGCACCTCAAACTCGCATTGCTCTCCAAGCTTCTGAAGATTCTCACTATATCGTCCGGTCTCAAGCTCTCATCATCGTATATGCCTAGCTTAGTCACGGTCTCATTGCTTGTCAGCATCTGGATGATTGCAGCAACTCCATCTCTCCCAATCTTGGTTCTCCTTCCCCCAAAAGCTACAACTTTGAGACTAGTGTTGGCTTGGAGTTGCAAGGCAGAGAATCTGGTCAAAGGGCACAACAGATGCTCAACTCCAATCCCACTGAACCAATTCCCATCAAGATACAAACTTTCCAATGCCTGGTTCTTGAAAAGCCCAGCTGCAACATACACAACTCCCTTGTCCTTGAGACAAGTCTTGGACAGCCTCACTTCCCTAAGGCTTCGATTCTGCTCCAAAACCCACCGGAACTCTTTCCCCCACCGCGATTTCAGCCTTACCCCGGTCAAGTCCAACGATCTTACCGTCGAATTCCACCCCAATGAGCAAGCAACTCTGCATGATCCTGTAACATCTAGCTTACTATAAACCCTGAGGGTACCATTGGCAAACTCCACCACCTTTGAGATCTTCTCCCCATTTTGTCCCCCACACCAAATGTGAACTTCTATGGCTCTATTCCTCCCCAAAACTGCTGAGATCAATGGAGTTGCCGTGAAGGAGTGAGAGTCAAAGATGGTGAGCAGCTTAAGCGTGGAGTTGACTTCAATCATTTTGGAGAGCTCCTCAGCTCCTCTTGACCCAATTGAGTCCTCCCATATCTGCAGCTCTTCCAAGCCTTCATTCACCATGAGGGCATTGGCCAAAAGGGTAGCACCAGAAGGGCCGATTCGAGATTCCGCCAGCATTACTTCTTTGATCATAGAATTCCTCTTCAACATCTCGCATAGCTCACTCAGGCATTCTGGAGAGAACCTGTTCCTCCGGAAGACGAGTTGCCTAATGCAGCTTAAGCTGTTCTGGAGTAGGGTTCCAAGGTGAAGCAGTTGCTCTAGTCCCCACTCGACTCGATGGAACTCCATGTTTGTTAAGGATTTCAGCTTGTTGCTGTTGGAGGTTGCGAGGTGTGAGAGAATCTCGGAGAAGAGAGGAAAGGTATCTTTGGAGATGTTGACATGGAGGGAATTCTCTGTCACTTGGAAACAGCTTGAGGTTGGGTGAGAGAGGTGGAAAGAAATGCTGTGAAGTTGGAGGCTTTCTTCTTCCGATGAGGACTTGATAGCTTGCAGAAGCCATTGCAGATCCCTCAAGCTGTTGTTTGATGCCATTTCCCTCTTCTTCTCTCAGGGTTGGCTTTAGAATGGAAGGACAACCCGAACCACCATCATTGTCATGGTGATCATGTCATGATCTAAAACTGTGTTCTTTCCAACAGCACACCCGAAGACACATTTCTAGGTTTGTTCTGTTTCCTTTCTTCTCTGGTGGTGTTGGAATGGCCTCGATTGCGGGACTCCTGTCTGATATTTGGACAAGAAATCAACAATGGTGGTGGCCTACTGGTCTTGGGATGATAATAGGTTTATATATATTCTCATCTTGTAAACCAAGGTATTCCCTTTATGCTGTGGCCAGCTTTTGGGAGAAAAAGCAGTAACGTGGCATGGGCAACGGTTTTCCGACTCGGTTGGTTGGTTCGGTTCGGCTATATACTCGGATCAATCAATTTGGGATAATTGATTCTGATTTTCAGCGGGTGAATTTGTCTTTAATCGGCTTAACTATGCATGTCGTTCTTTGTTTATCACTTTACCTGTTTCCTAATTCATTTCTTACAGAACGGCCAAATGAACAGAACCAGTGGGCTTGAAAAGGAGCGCCGCGCTTTTATGTTCCTTTTGAGTTTTGACCTTTCGGCCATTTTGATGGTTTTCTTCTTTTCCCACTTGCTAGAGGGTCCTAGCCTAGGTAGAAGAAAACTACTACGGTTAAACAAGGTTACGGTGATTACTTGTTTTTTAGTAATCACGTGTCAACCTTTTTATATACCACTAGTCACTATAGGTGTCAAAACATAGCCCGACCCGATTAACCCGCCCGATCAACCCGACTCGCAACCCGACCGCAACCCGAATTGACTAAAAGTCAACAACCCGTAATCCGGCCGACCCGCAACCCGACTAACCCGCAACCCGACTGACCGGCAACCCAATTAACCCGAACCCGATTGACCCGCAACTCGATTAACCCGAACCCAATTGACCCGAACCCGACTAACCCGTAACCCGACCGAATCAACCCGAACCTCACTTAGTCCACTTAAATAATTATTATAATATACAATACATAGTTTTTCAAAATAAAGTTTTTCATTCTAAACTTAGGTAAAATTATTTTTTCATTTCGTATAGGGAATTTAAAAAATATGAAACTCACTTGATATTATGTACTTTAAGAAAATTACAAAAATTGAAACATGAAGGTCACTTGAACACTAAGTTCTTTAACAAAATTAAAAAAGTAAATATATAATCAACATAATGTCAATATTAATAATGAAGAATTAATAATTGAGATCATTGACAATACTAATATAATATATAAATTAAAATTATGGTTAATTCAACTATTCAATAAAATTATCAATTAAATATAAATAAAATAAAGTAATGTATTTGGTAATTTGATGTTATTAAAAGAAGAGAAATTTTTTGGTGTATTCAACTTTTTGGGAAGAGAAAGAAGAGGGAAATTTGGTTCTTTGAATTTTTGGAAAAGAAACAAGGCAAATTTTGATGGTTTTGATTTGTGGGAATAGAAAGAAGTGGGAAAGTTTGGTTCTTTTGATTATGAAAGAGAAATAAGGAGGAAAATTTTGAGTTTTCAACTCTTTGTGGAAGGAAGGAAGAGAGAAATTTGGTTCTTTCAATTTTATGGAAGAGAAAGAGGAGGGAAATTGAGTGTTTCTAATTTATGGAAGGAGAAAGAACGAGGGAAATTTTGGTATTTTTTTTTGTGAAAGAAAGAATGAAACAAATTTGGTGTTTTCAACTTTTTATTTTTTCAAAATTTTAGCCTTTGAAATATGAATCTTTAATTTTTATATGGAGGGCATGACTAGTTAAATTTATTCTTATATAGTTTGAAGGCTAATATATATATATATATGTAATTATTTATGGGCTAATAAATAAATTAACCATTAGTTACAACAATTATACTAAACTTGATAAGTAATCTTTGACGGTTCGTTGTTTAGACTTTAGAGTATAAAGTATATTGGTTAGGGTAAATGGTATAAGGTACATATGGTTTAGGGAGTATATGGTTAGGGTATAAGATATTGATGGTTTTGACGGTTCTAAGTTTTTTATTAACATATGTTCACTTGAAATCATTTGATGTCCTTAACGGCAGGAGATCCCTTTTTAATTTATGTTTGTGGTACGTGGTTAGAGTACAAGGTATATGATGTAGAGTAAAATATATATGGTTAGGGTGTAGCAATTAGCAAATATCACTTTTTATCTATGTTTTGAAAATCAAAGTATGAATTTCAATTTTAAATTAACTATACTAGCAAAATCACAACTCATAATGACATATGGTTAGGGTATAGGGCATGTGGTTAGCGTATAATGTATTGATGTTTTAGGGTATACAATCAACAACATATACTAACTTAATATTGTCGATTGAGGGTAAGGCTAAGTGTATATGATATATGTTATTGAGTAAGTTATGATTGAAGTCCCAATAATTTTACTAGATTTGATAGTTAATCTTTAATGGTTCAATTTTCAGGATAATTCGAACAATTTTACAAATAACTCGTTTGGCAACAGTTTACTGAAGTTATTTGGGCAATGAGTTATTTCGAAATAACTTCTTTTATCACTCTGTTTTTACCTAATACCACACGCCAAATACCACATTTGCATGATTATACTAAATGAGATACTTTAATCCAATTACACTACTGAAATAATACTAAAATATCAAATAAATAATTAATAGTATCTGTTGGTTGTAAATATTGATATCACCATTACTATTGGCTAGTGTACTTTACCAATTACGATTAATTACATAACAAGTTTGCAAGTCATACAAATTGATTTAACATTTTGACTCGTTTTTTTCAAAAAATTAAGTGTATATATATATGAGGTAGAAATAAATTGGTTAAAATAAATATATTGTTTTCAAATAAAGTTTTTCATTCTCATAAAATCATTCACATTTAGTTAAGAAAGTTCAAAATCTGAAATTCACTTAAATTATGGTTTTTAATTACAAAATTATGACACGAATTTCTTTAACCAAATTAAAAAAAAATCAGCACAATGCTAATATTTATAATAAATAATAACTAAGACCTTTTGTCTATAATAATAAACTTTATTATTGGAGAAGATGACATGGTAAGAACTAAGAAGTAATTTTGGGCGGGTGTGATGAAATTTTGGTTTTGGGCGGATGTGATGAAATTTTGGGTGCCCAATTTTTTGCAAGCAGAGGGAAGGATTTTGTGTTTTTTATGTAATTATAGTGGGCGGGTGATGATGAAATTTTGGGCGGCCCAATTTTAGTTGTGGTGGGAAGGCGAGATTTCAAATTTCAATTTTGGTGATTTTGACTAGTTTTTCTTAATTAAGTATATATAGAAGGTAGAAAGAAATTGATTAAAAACTGTGAAAAATATTTTAAATTAGTGTAATAAAATGTGTAAGTTGGTAACGAGTAAGTAACTCGATGCGTTGACCCGAACAACCCGCAACCCAATCCGCCCGCAACCCGCCCAGTCCGAAACCCGATGAACCCGAACCCGATTTGCCCGTAACCCGATTGAAGCCGAACCCGATCAACCCGCAACCTGACTAACCCGCAACCCAATTAAATCCGAACCCGATTGAACCCAAACCGACGAACCCGCAACCCGATGAACCCGCAACCCGACTAACCCGCAGCCCGATTGAACCCAGCCCGAACCCGCCCGATTGACACCTATACTAGTCACAAGCCCGGCCGGTTGGCCGGATTCATTTGCCAATTATGTAAATAAATAGTAATAGCAATTTTTATGTGAGCTTTGCGTTTATTTGGTAGTAGGTTTAGAAATAAAGGTATATGAAACTATTTAATATTCTAAATTCTTGATCGTGTAAAAGAATTCAAATTATGAAAATTCTTCGGTCATTCAAAAGATGTCATCATTATGTTTTTTGACATTTTAACCGAGTGTCCTTTTTCCACCTTCCACAAATCAATCGATTTAGTGAAAGATAAGTCGGTGAATTAATGATCAAATCATATAAACAAACTTGTATGATCATTCATCGTATAATATTTATTAGTCATGGTATCATAAGAATAATATAAAAAAGGCACACAACCATCAAAACGTACTGCCTCTTCATAACCAAAAAAATTTGTTTTTTAATTGTAAACAAAATTTATCCCTTCCAAATGTAAACAAAGTACAAAAGTAAAATACTTCAACTATTATAAAGGATCACCATCATAGTATTTTCCGAATATCCTAACCGACTCATCGAGTAAAATTGTTTTCCAAAAAATAATATATAAACCCTATGACAGGGAACCGACTACTACTTTGCTTTCGCGAATCATTCTATTTATTTCTCATTGTCAGAGACCATCACTTCATGTTTTCTTTTTAGCTTGTTTGCATTTCCTTTGTCATGAGCAACATCATCATCTCCACCGGTAGCGAAGTCAGTCTTCTCCATTAGTGATATGTTTTGGTACAATATCAGGAGACTCCACCTTCTTCTCAAGAGCATCCTCTTTTGTTGCACCTATTCCAGCCCCTCCATCATTGCCAGTGCTATTTTTGATCTTATGCAATAGGATAATGATATTAGTTTTTTGGCATTCAAAAACATAACATATTTGTTGTTTTATTGAATCATAAGTTCATAATATTTGGTAAGTGAAGACATATACAGGATGATTATAGAGCCAAGTATGTAGCTGCATGCAAGTGAATATGAAATAAATGAATGTTGCACTGTTTTAAGATATAAAATTAAATGCATTGCAAAATAATGTATGAGCAGTTGACGTGGCATGGCAATTTAATTATAATTAGAGGGTTCATTTTGTATAGAATTTCCAAATCGTGTTGGTTATAATGCATTCTTGTAAATAAGAGTGATTACAATTTCACGCTAGTTGGACTTACCTCGATTGATTCGGGGTGATCGTTTGAGTTATTGTTATCATCCTCTATCCATATCTTGCAAGTTGTGTATTGGGTTTGCGATGTTGTAATCAGTGAGCTTGATGTCGAATTTCAACGTCATTCTCTCAAATTGTAGTAGATGAGTAGGTGGTGGTCCTCTCATTCGTTCGTTGTCTTGGAATAGTCTCTCAGCAGATATTCCAAAAAATCGATCACCCTCTCGATCCAGAACAACAAAGTCTGCTTGAGTTGTTTTGTCCGCAGCTCGAAGTTCTATCATGAATCTATATAAGAATTGTAATAATGTAAAGAAGCACAATTTTAGTGTCGGACGTGTGTAAATAAAGGAAAACATTGATGAACTCTTTATATTATATAATAATAATCTTATCATATGTAGCAACGGATATTAAAACGGGGCACTAAGTGGCTCCTCGGGGAAAAAATGCGGGTCGCAAAATGGACAATATATTTTTCGTGAAAAGGTCGGTTGGTTACAATTTTCAGTTCACATTTTTTACTCTAAAGAATAGGTGTAATGGGTTCTTTTATTGTCATTAACAAACAATTGGTCAATCGAATATCATTCTTCTTTTTTTTACAAAAGATAATCATATAGATTGAGAACAATAGATCGTTACATCCTAGAATTCAGCCAGGCCTGGAAATCAAAAGATCGACATGTAGTCGGGAACAAAGACAGGGCCTGTCTAGCTACCAAATGAGCTACCCTATTGTTTCGTCGACCTACAAATCTTACAGTGAAACCTATGTTAGAAGCAAAACAATTCACTATCTCTTCCAGAATTGCCCCTATCCGATTATCACGAACATCCTTCCGGAGAATCTTCTCAATTATCACCTGGGCATCACCTTCAGACCTCATAACAGTGAATCCATTAGCCAAACACCAACCAATTGCCTCCCGGAGGACCAGCGCTTCAACCACCATTGGGTCACCAAGGAACGAGAAATGAACCCCCTTCGCAAGGATGACCGCTCTATCATAATTAAGGATAACCATCCCCCCTGCCGCATGAGATCCCAACCGCACAGCCCCATCCCACATACAAATAGCCGTGGCATCTCCAGCATATCGTACGATAGGGCTCGGGGGGCGCACAAGCTGATCATTTTGGTCCCGGGGTAAGCTACTCCATTCCTGCACTTGCTGGTGAAATTGCCGCATCAAGGCAACAATCCCAAACTGTTTGCCTTCAAAGACCACCCAATTACGAGATCGCCAAATCTGCCACAGAACAGCCACTACAGACATCACCAAAGCAGGGTTCTGCACCACAACTAGTAATTTCTTCAGAAAGAGCGGGAACGTGTGGCGAGGCAAACCTTCACCCAGGTGGGCCAGCTCAGACTGATCCCACAATGCACGAGCTACCGGACACTCCAAGAACATATGTTCTAAAGTTGCCCAACACACCGGACAACGAGGCAAAACGTCCACCTTCTTTTCACGCAAAGCTTTCGTAGTAGGAAGAATTCTGTGAAAGATTTGCCAGACAAACACCCTAATCTTCGGAGGGATATCCGCTTCCCACAGCCTGATCCAACTTGACTTATCCATCAAACTAGCCAAAGCCCTTCAGTGACCATTCTGACGATCCAAATTCACCGCGACATAATACGCAGATTTAACCGTGAAAATGCCATCAGAAGTCGGATGCCATATCAATTTATCCTCTATAGTCTGGCACGGTAAAGGGATAGTCTTAATGGCACTACAGGTATCTGGATCAAACCATTGACAGAGTTTTTGATCATTCCATCGTCCCTCCCCTTGCTGGATCACCTCCTCCACCTTCAAACCCTCACCCTCAAGAACCACACACGGGTTGTAAACTGGGAGAAGGGGATGTTGCTGGGGAATCCAACTGGACGTTAGCAGAGGGGCCTTCTGACCATTACCAATTTGCCATCGCAACCCTGATTCCAACAATTGGCGGCCAAAGAGGATACTTTGCCACCCCCAAGAGGGACGAGAACGGGCCTGAGCAGTGAGAAAAGTCCCATTGGGGAAGTATTTACCTTTGTACACCTAGGCAATAAGGGACTGGGGTTCCTCAAGGATACGCCAACCAATTTTAGCTAGCAATGCTTGGTTGAAATGTTCAAAACGGCGAAACCCCATGCATCCTTCATGTTTACTTTTACACAAATTCCTCCAAGAAATCTACCGGATCTTTGATTTCCCCTCTTCCACCCCCCACCAAAATTGGGCTATATGCTTGTCAAGAAGGTGACACAGAGCCAGGGGTAGTTTAAAACAGGACATAACTGCAGAGGCAAAGCTAATGCCACTGATTTAATCAATGTTTCCTTAGCCGCCCATCAGTGCTCTCCTCTTCCACCCCTGTAATCTAGCCAGAAGCTTCTCCTCCAGGTAGCAGAGAGTAGCCAATTTAGACTGGGCTATCAGAGAGGGGAGGCCCAAATATTTATCTTGGACGCCCACAACCCCTACTCCCAAAATTGCCGCCAAGAATTTCTGATCCGCCGCCGCTATATTTTTACTAAGACACACCGCCGATTTCTCTAGATTCACTCTCTGGCTACTCAACTCCTCGTATTCATTTAGAACCTCGATCAAATTCTCACATTCTTGGAGGGATTCTCGAAGAAAAAGATAAGAATCATCGGCAAAGAACAAATGTGAGATACGAGGCGCACGAGGGGCCACTTTAACACCTTGTAATTTCCCTTCCGAAATGGCTTGACGGAGGAGAGCCACGAATCCCTCCGTACAGATGACAAAAATAAGGGGGGATAGCGGATCACCTTGTCTGAGCCCTCGAGAAGGGGGAAAAAAACCAGCTGGGTTACCATTCATAAGGACTGAAAAAGACGTAGACTGGAGGCATTCTTGAATCCATCCTCGCCAGACCGAGCTAAACCCCATTTTTTCCAGAACCCCTAAGAGAAAGGGACACTCGACTCTATCATAGGCCTTTTCCATATCAACCTTCAGAGCCATATATCCCTTCTTCCCACGGGTTTTGATTTTCAGGTAGTGCATTAGCTCATGCCCTAACAGGATATTCTCCACTATCTGCCTCTACCGAATAAAAGCATTCTGGCCATCGGAAATAATTTGGGGCAATATACAAGAGAGTCTCCCTGCCATGATTTTAGTAAGTACCTTATACACAAATTGGCAGAGACTAATAGGACGCAGCTGACGAATTGATTCAACTTGATCCACCTTTGGAATCAAAGTCAACCAAGTATAATTAAAGCTTCGAAGCATCCTACTAGTTTCAAAAAACGAGCTCACCGCTTGAATCACCGATTCCCCAACTATACCCCAAAAAGCTTTGAAGAACTTCCCAGTAAACCCGTCCGATCCTGGCGCCTGCTTGGACCCCATAGAGAAAACAGTTTCCCGTATTTCCTTAGGGAGGACTTCAACAGTCAGGTTCGCATTCATTTCCGGGGTAACACAGGGGTCAATGGGGAGAGCATTCACTCTTTCGTGCATATTAGCAATCTGGTTTTCTGATGTGAACAGAGTCCGATAAAAATTGGTGGCAATATCTGCCTTTCCGCGCTCCTCCGTGGTCCATTCTCCATCCTCATTATAAAGACCAGCAACAAAATTTCTCTTCCGACGAGCCCTCGTGACCGTATGGAAATAGGACGAGTTCTTATCCCCCTTCTTAAGCCAAGTAACGCGAGATTTTTGTTGCCAATACACTTCCTCTGCCTCCCATTGCCTGCTCAATTCAGTTTCTAACCGGGTCACCTCCTCCCAGTCAATAGGGTGAATGACTTTTAGCCGATTAATCTCTCCTTGCAAGGTATGAATATTCCGCAGAGAATTTGTGGTACCAGCTCTGCTCCAATCATACAGCAAATGCCGGAGTTTTTTCAGCTTTTCCCATAACTGGAACATTGGGGTACCAGAGTAGTTTTCTTGCCAGACTTAAGCCACCATAGCCTTGACTTCGGGATTATCTGCCCAGCGAGCATCGAACCGAAAGAGAGGGCGACAACTCCGCGTATAGGGCTTGTCCGAGAGAAGCAGAGCTCGATGATCAGATCCCTGATCCGTGAAGTGCTTAACTAGCATTTCCGGATATCGATCTATCCAACTCCGAGAACAGAGAGCCCTGTCAAGCCTTGCACGAATACAGGCCAAACCCATATGCCTATTCGTCCAGGTGAAAGGGTCCCCCTGAAAACCCGGATCATGCATACCTAACAATTGAATAAGATTCCGGAGATCCAAAGATTGAGCAGCATTCCAAGGATTCCCTCCATCTTTTTCATTATCGCACAGGGTAGCATTAAAATCTCCTATAATCACAAAGGGTACATCAAGGCCCTCACAAAGCTCGCGCAACTGGGTCAATTGTATAGCTCGTCTCACAATATTGCAACTCATATACACACAGACAGCAATGTAAGAAAACCCATTCTCATTAATCCGAGTACAAATGCAAAAATTTGAATGAAAAAACACTGAAGCCTCAACTTCAGGGGACCAAGCTACTACTAGACCACCAGAACCATCAACAACATCAACAAAATAACAATGACTCGACTCAAATCCCAAACCCCGCATTCTACGGGAAACGACTCTCCCGCACGATCTTGTTTCTGAAAAGAAAACAAGGTCCGGTTTATTCGAACGAACCAACCCGACAGCAGTTTGGAATGTGAGGGATGGTCCAATTCCTCTCACATTCCAGGCAAGGAGCCTCATTTATCCGACTGGGGCCATTCCCGGCTGGCTACCTCCACCGTTTTAGTAGTGTCTTGTTCTTCCACAAATTGCTTTTGGGCGTGGGACTCGTCCCAATACCACCCTCCAGCTCATCAAACGCCCGCTTAAGAGTCTCATTATCAAGAATACGAGCCTCATTATCGAAATTAGACCTGTATTCGTTGAGCTTCGATATCATAGTCCCTTCATCCTCCTGAGCCATATCCTTGTCGTCATTGATAGTCATACTAGCTTCAAAAGCCGCAACGACCTGACGAACTTGTCTTGGGAGAATCTGTCGGGGAGGGATAGCTGGCTGCTTCCTGCTCCTTATCTCAAATTGGAGATTATCCTCCTCCGAGGAAGAGTCAACAGGAGCAGGCTGCCCAACCTGATTGGTAGCCCCCTCGTCCATTAGTGCCGCCTCCCGAGCCTTTGGCCCATGATTTTGCTGTTCATACATTCTGCCAGGGGAGCCCACAGGCCCAGCCAACGAACCCTTCCCCTTAGGCAAGTGGGCCAACAGGAGCAGGCTTCTTGCGACTTTCCTTCTCCTTCCGCTGCTTCGCCGGGCTCCCTGCTGCCTTTCCGCGTCGGGCCAAGGAGGATCCCTTCACCTTTCGCATGGACTCATTGCAGGCCGAAGCCTCCACTAGCCCATCCACGGTCAACCCTTTCTTCACCAATCTTTTCCCCTTCTTCCTCCCATCCCCGTTCTCTTCTTTCCCCTTCGTCGGTAGCAGTGGTAACGGAGAATCATCCTCTGACTCTTCGAGAATCAGCTTTCGGTGGCGAGCTTCCTGCGGGGTAATCTTAGCCCCCAGATCTGCCTTCGGTTGGCTAAACTCCTCGCCTGCCGGGTTGGCAGACTGACGAATCTGGCCCTCACTGCCCAGTACCCGATATCGCTTTTTCGCATCACCAGCAGCCTCGCGGTCCCCGACATGCTCCAGACTTCGGCTAACACTCGCCTCATCAGTGAGAGCCCCAGCAGGAGAGAGGGAGCTCCGGGATCGGCTCAATTTCACCACCGGCGACCTTGAAATATTGAAGCCGCGCGGGCTCATCCGTCGGTACCCTCTTGCTGTCGCCTCTGAGGTTGCCATCACTGGGTGTTGAGAAAGACGGTTGGGCTGGGCTTGGTAGCTTCCCCCTGCTGTCCCTGAGCACCTGAACCAAATTCGCCCTTCCCATGCTGTCTTAAGTCTATGTTAACCCACACCGAGTTCCCTCCACGGGGGAGGGTTTAGATTTGGTCATCATTGTCGTAAATTCGAGTCCCCCGTTTCTTGGTAGCCATATGGGATCCGAAGTTCTCTTTCCGGGTCGCGGATCAAAGGTGCAGGCTCGACTTGAGTGTCCCACGCGACCACAATGAAAGCAGAAGCTAGGAAGGTGCTCATATTTCAAGCTCACCCAGAAGCAGCCAGTGTCATCATTCGCTGCCATAATCCGGGACCTGAGAGGCTTGGAAAAATCTATGAGAGTCTTGACCTTCACGAACCAGCTACCCGTTTCCTGGTAGGCAAAGACGCCCGATTCCAAAACTTTACCAATAGTGGCATTCACCACTTTCCCGCCGAACTGTTGCGTGCAACAGTCTTCCTTAACATTCCACAATTGGACGTGAAATGGCGCAATTGCTAGCTCTTCAAAAATCTTTTTCGTAATGATTGGCGTCCATGCCCGAAGATGGAGGATCTTGTCATTGATCACCCAGGGGGTACGTTTGAGGACCCAAATCTTCGCCTCCTCGCTAGGTAACATGAACTCAAGGGGCGATTACCGATTCCTGCAGCTCTGTCGTCGATATCCTATTCACAGTAAAGAGCCTGCCAAGAAGAGAGTGTGCAGCTCGATATTTAGTCATTTGCACCTCTTCCATCGAGAATTGAACCACCTGATCAGCCGAAACATGCGCCATGGTGATAACCTGCGAGGCAGAGGGGAGAAGAAACGTATTATTGACCACCTCTTGCATAGGTTCAGGCACATTCGTGCCTTTCAATGGCCTTTGTTCAGGCCGGGGAGCCAGGGAGCTATTAGAAGGAGGCATCCCCAACCCTTGCCGGAACGAGTAGGCAGAGGAAGGGAGGGCCAGGAGCTGTGGCATACGAGGGAGGAGCGGGGAGCAGAAATTATTAACTGCGTCCGGGAACTGCCTGGGAGAAGAATATTTGCCCACCACCTGCGCCGTCAGCCGAGTTCTCAAGGAGGAAGAAGTGAGAATTGATGGCCAGGGGTTCAGAGCTTTATAGGGGAAACCATATCTACTCTCAGGATATTCCGTAACCGCTCGGGGATTTCGAGTTTGCCGCGAAGAAGGACTCCTCAATTCCCAATTTTCAAATTTATCTGTCTTGTGAAAAATCCCCACAAAATTAGGGATCAGATATTGAGGAAAGATTCCTCTAACAACCACCCGCCGATCAAGGACCCGGTTGAGGTGCGCATCGACAGGGTAAGTCTGGCCACCGATCCCTGTGGCGGGCGGTGTCGCAGGGGGAACATTTGAATTGCTTGTGTTTCGCTCCGGCGATCCGGCTGGGCGATCCTCGACGGATTTTCGCAGGTCCAACAGGGACCTCGCCCCACTATCGATCAACGTGTTATTCATAGGTCTCGCATCACCATCAATCAGAGGCGGCACATGTATCTCCCTGGCTTTAATAACCAACTGATTCGGTTTCTCACTCTCTAGCTCTTCCATGGAGGGATTACAAACCGCCAGGCAACTTTTCGTGACAGTCGCCGGCGTTTGGAGGAATTGAGAACTTTTTTCTCCGCCAGGAGAAGCCCAAGCTTCCGTTTCTTTTGCCAGTCTTTAGTATGGCAGTCTCCTGAACAAGCCACTCCATGTTTGTGCTGGCCACCATTACGTCGCTTATGCCAAACAGGGGGCTTCTCAGGTTTTGATTCTACATTTTCTTGAAAAGGCGAGAACCCAATCTGCTCTCTCTGCTCCCAAGCCTTCGAGGGACACTGATTTCGCAGACTGCGAAGGAAAATGGCATGGATCATTGAGAGCAGGAGACGCCCAAGCTCTCTTCCCACATATGATAATAAAGATGTGCATCATGAGTTCACCTAGGCACAAAATTGATGATTTCCAAAATTATTGGATTCGCCAGCAGCAAGGTCGCTCCAGTTGAGGAGAAGGTGTTGTCTCCTGCTATTTTTTTTTGGGAGAAACAGAAAATAATTTAATTAAGTTGCTATTATTTATATGAAAATGCATGGATTACAATTAAGGTAATTTAGATGCTTCTTTACCATTGAAAGGAGCGACATATAATGATGTAATGATCAGGATGGGATATATGATGATCACTCGCATTTGCAAGGATGACATTCAATTGGGTAACTATTCTACCAAAGAGAGTTAATGTGACAACCAATCCCTTGTAAACAAACTATATGTTAGATTTGCACTTAGAAGTAGAGTAACGTATGATATCATTTTAAATGGAAAGCTAAAAGAAGTACATACTCAGGAAGTTTTAGATGCAGCTCTTTGCGGGTAACTTTTCCAGTTAGTCTAGTAGTTGTAAGTAAATCCTGGTTCATTGGAATTCCTTGTGACTATGATACTTTCTCCCTTCCACATCATTGCTCCACAATATTCACATTTATATGATGGGGTTCCAATATCAAGCACTTCAACAACTGCAATAATATTAGAACTCGAATATAAGAGCATTGATTAAAATACCAAAATATAATAAATGAGAAAATAAATTAATAAAATATTTATAAACCTGGAAAGTCTCCAGATCGCATCACCTGAAGATGATTATAACGATTTTCGGCATGTTTGATGGACCTCAACAATCTATTTCTTTTATTTTGTAAGTTATTCATCTCAATTTGGAGTCTTGCAATATGATTCATTAAAATAAGCAATCCTAGCATCTAACACATAATTCGATAGCATATAAATGACAAAACAAACATAAAAATAATGGATTGCCAGTAGGAATGTTGTTAATTTTTTCATATGCACGCTTTTGACTTATATAAAGAGCACGTTTCCTTCTTGCTAATTTGTAAATGGTTGATTTATTCTCTTCAACTTTGACTTATGTGAATCAATTTCTGAAAATTAAAATGGACAGTGGTGGTCTTATAACATGAAGTTGTGTAAAATAGTTAGAAAGATCACAATCAATTGATGATTCATCCATATTCATATCTAGAGGTGGCAATTACGATCCAAATCCATGAATGCAATCCAATCCATCCACCAAATTATCCATCTAATCCAATCGATTTGATCCAAATCCAATTGGATTGGTGGATTCATGGATCAATCCATGGATCCAAATGAAAAATTACAATTTAGTACCTATATTTTTTATATTTTACATTTTGGTACCTAAAATTTATATTTTTATACGAAAAATATCATTGAAAAATGACATTTTGGTACCTAAAATTTTTCATTAAGACATTTTAGTACCTAAACTTTTCAAAATTTACATTTTGGTCCAAGCCTTGGATGTCATTTGGATTCATGGATGAATCCACCAATCCATTGGATCCAATCCATTTGATACATGGATCCACGAATTCACGAATCCGATCCAATTGCGACCTCTATTCATACCATAGGCAAACTTTTTTTGCACTTTAGATAGAGACAGATTAGAATCCACCAGACTTTCTAGTTGAATAAAAATTGCTCTTTTTCCCCTGAATACCGCATGGCATGGACACATATTAAATTGTAAGATGTATATAATTATATTAATAAAAGATATGGATACACATAAAATTGTAAGATGTATATAATTATGTTAATAAAAAGATTTGTACTTACATTCAAGTTTAAACTGACGAATTAAAGCATTATTTGATTGTTTGGATGTTTGTGCACGTGAAGTACTTCTTCGAGCCATAGAACTACAAAAGGGTGGCCTTACGTAATATTGGTGCGTAATATAATGTTAAAAAATGATGTAATATTGGTACACAATATAAGTGTTAATGTAATTGCTCCTTATATCATATTACACATGCTGTTGACTATTGAAATCTAATGTTAAAAAATATAGCTAATACATATAGGTATAAAAAAGAGTAAGTCAGCTTACCTGTTGATTCTGAGGTCAGTGACTTTGGAGCTAACACCGCTCTTAAGCAGTTTGCTTTCGTTGATGGGGCAAGACCGCAAGAGGCAGCAAAACTTATATATAGGTATCAAACAATAAAAATAATGATTTCGTATCTTTCCTAGAATTGGCAATAAGAAAGCGGGCTCGGCCCACCTAATAGAACTATATGTGTTTCATGTATATAACATAATGGATATATTAATAATACATGTTGTATTCCTAATACATAGAAAATAATGTATTCATAATCTTACGTTTTTAGTGACATTTGAGTATTCATAGTTCATTTAAACTATAATTCATGCATTCTTTTATGAGTTCAAAACAACGAATTTTCAAAATCACACATTCGTAGTATACACATAATCTTTAATACACACATTTTAGTAATACATCATTTGCAAAATCAAAGACTCCAAACAACCCCTTAGTCTATTCCAATTGAAAGACCATCCATATTACTCTGCGCCTCTGCTTGGGCTTTGTAGTCATGGGCTATAAAATATTTATTGACATAATAGGCGCATTGAAGAAAGAAGATTGAATTTCCATATATATAATTCCTCCACCACAGAAGATCAACCCCTCAATTCTTATTCCTTATCGAATCTGCTGTAAAAACCTTCCCAAAAATCTACCTCCTCCCCGTTTGATTGTGCAAGTGCTTTACACAGCAAGAGTTTGCCGTTGTATTTGGTTTTTCTCTTCCTGGGGTATCCTTCCAGAATCCAGCAAATTTCCCCGAAGTCGATTTCTTCCTTTCTAGTTTTTTCACGATAACAGGGCTGGTCCGGGACCAAATCAGGTCAGTAACTGATGGGTCAGTAACCCATCAGTAACCCGTTCCCTTGTCTCCACGTGTCAGTCCCTTTTTTATTTAAATTAAATGTGAAAGGACAGTAAAGTAAAATTGCCCTTGCCCTATTTATTGTCAATCCTGACTTTTGACCAGACCACGTCAGCGCCTCCTCTCCTCGAAAAACCTTTAATTTTCATTCTCTTAATCTTTAACAGATGATTTCTCACTCATTTTAAGTCGGAATTTAATTTTTTTTGCACAGTTAGATCAGATTAATTGTGCTCTTCAAAATGATATCCACTTTGATATTTTTTGGACATAAAAAAAATTGCCAGTTATTACCAGTCATACCATATGGTATTGACTGGTATTAAATAAGATCATACCGTTATCACCCAATACCATATGTTATAGTGTGGTAATATCAATATATATATTTCGTTACCACCCAATACCATATGGTATAGTGTGGTAATATCTATATATATTTCGTTACCACCCAATACCATATGGTATAGTGTGGTAATATCAATATATATTTCGTTACCACCCAATACCATGTGGTATAGTGTGGTAATATCAATATATATTTCGTTACCACATAATACCATATGGTATAGTGTGGTAATATCACACAATACCATACAATACCATATAGTATAGTGTAGTAATATCAATATATAGTTCGTTACCACACAATACCATACATTACCATATGATATAATGTGGTAATATCAATATATATTTCGTTACTACCGAATACCATATGGTATAGAGTTGTAATATCAATATATATTATCTAAAAGAAAAAAAAACAGAAGGAGGTAGAGAAAAAAAATCGTCTTCTGTCGTCTCTCATTTCCTCTTTCGCAATCAAGAACACCAAAATGCCGAAAAATGAGAAAGATCGAAATTGAGGCCAACGAGATGATGAAGAGAAGAAATGCAATGAAAGAGAGTGGTTGCAATTTTTATTCGTCCTGGAGAAAAAAAAAATAAAGAAGAAGAGAAGGGAGCAGATTTAGATCTCAAAAGGAGATTGAGAGAAAAAAAAAGGAAGAGAGAGGATCTGGAAAAGAGATTGGGAGAGAAAAATGAAGAGAGAAGGAAGAGAGAAAGATAAATGAGAGTTGCAGAGAAATAATGGTTTCTTTTTCCTTCTTTGAAAATGCAGCCATTTAATACGAAATAAAATAAAATAAAAAATTTAATGTATAAACGGACAAAAATACTCTTCTCCACTTAGCATCCGGCCCAACCACACGATTACCTGCCTCCTAGATTTACGGTCACTATTTATTACTGACCTGTCAGTAACCACTTGGTTGGTTACTGACCCTATCTCCTGCCCTCAATTTCCAGTCTTGTGTTGGCAGGTTGTCCAAAATTCTTTTTTTGTTGGATTTCTTGTTCTCTCTTGCATGCAAATTTTGGCAAAAGAGTTTCAGGATTTTCTAATACTTGAATTTGATATTAACCACTACGCATGCAAATTAAAGAAACTGAGGAGCCATTTGATTCAAGCGAATTCCAAGAAATTGTTAAGGGGCTTTGCTTTTCTGATGCCGACTGCTGCACTTTTCTTCTCATTCTTCTTCATTGTTTCCCCTTATGATTCCATTTTCTTGAGCCAAGCAAAAATTGGCGATTGCACAATGCGCAGCCTACTGGTGTTTCACTGGGCTGCGGTACCATTTGCATTGGGTAAAAACCCCTCATGTAAATTGAAAAGGTGATCTCATTTGGCAATTGAAGAGCAGGGGAAACGACATGCAGGGGTGAACTGAGATCTACATC